TTGTCCGTCTCGCGCATGTCAGCCAGTCACAGCCAGAAATGGCGCTCCCAGACCACCATAGTGGACGTCACACGACCAAGAGACCACGCCGTAACCTTCGTCGCTTGTGGTGCGAGGTCTGCCGCGGTGCGGAGTACTCTGCGAACTTCCAGGTCGTGACCACCCTCGTGCAAGTCCCTCAGTGCCTTGGCCTGGTGCACTTGTAATCACGCCGTAGCGTGTAAGGCGGAGGCAGCTTCTCCACAGGTCATATAGGCATGCTCCCAGATCTAGATGGGGGCCAGTCGAGTACCTACAGACCCGGGAGGGGAGGCACGGTTCTCCCTGCTGGTTGGAGGCGGGATTAGGAGACAACTGCATCGCAACTGACCGCTCCACCGGGGGGACCCTTGTAACCCCCTAGCTGCCCCACCATCGAGGGTGGTGAGGGAGGAGGATCCAGCAAATCAGTTTCCGGCAGTAAAAAGGTGCCGTCCACGACCTGTTGAGCTCCTCGTGCACCTGATCTAGGCAGTGGCACGGGCACTTCGCCCCTTTGCAGGTAACGGAGTCCGGCCCGCAACTCCGAGATGGTTATACCCCCGTAATGGGAGCATGAGTCATCCACGAAAGCCACCTCAGCGTGCTTCATGCCCAGGCACGAGAGGCAGCGATCGTGACCATCACCCAGCGCTAGGTAACGACCGCATCCAAAAACGCCCGGGTGATACGTTGTCTATAGCAAGACCCACATCGTCTTTACAAAGACGTAACGTCAAGTTTGCCACGCAACGTCGTCTTTAAAAAGACGCACCCGAAATTGCTCTTTTAGGGGAAAAAGCTCTTTTAGCGTGCTGAGGCGCACAGGGGAGATGATCATCTGCAACACAAACAGGGGGTAGTGCAGCCTGATGTGTGCAACCCACTCGACACGGGAAACCACCACCGCTGAAGCGCCGTCCGCCAACACGAAGAGCTCTCTAAGAGCGCGCTGAACTCATTCAGTCTTCTTCTCTCAGTAGAGTAGTCAGGAGCAGAACGATGTGATCGCTCGGCTCCGAAGCGAAAAGCTGAATATGCGCTGCATCTGCTGCCTACTTATACTCACGCTGTGATCAGCAGCAGCTGGATGCAATAATCGCATGCCAATGTGCATTGGCTCGTTTAGTTTACACTCGAAGTAGATTGGTCCCTCTAAGCGAGATCCCAATTTCGTCGGTCATCCGACGTGACGTCGAGAGTGACCGACTGAAAGGGAACCCTACTTATACCATCACGGAAAACAAATAATTTACCAAATAATGATTAAAATGAGCATTTATTTGCAAGACAAGGTTAAAGGAGTAGTAAAATAAACAATGCATATTTTACAGTGCATGTACTGTATGTACAAATACTATTATTTGACCTTAGACACCTCACTTTAACTGTCACATGATTAATGATCTTCAATGGTAGGCTAATAAAAACACTTTGGCTGAATGATTTGTGGTTCAAACATTTTCCCCCTATTTTTACAGGAATAATCTGTAAATATTAAATAACATTTTATGAAAAATTACACATTACTCTGTGAAAATACAGAAAATGTATGTAATACCCATAATTATGTAATACCATATTAATGGTGGAACTTTAAAATACAGAAACTATCTGTAAAACAACAGGTATTTCATCGTATAATGAAAAAAAGGGAAAATTCTGTAAAAAAAAAAATAGACAATTACATGTAAAAAAAAATAAATAAAAATAAATATATATATATATATATATATTTTTTTTTTTACAGTGTAGCCTACTTAGTGTCTTTCATTCCAACAAAAGAAAAACATTTCTGGAATCTGCATCTGAAATAGCATTTAGATGTATTTACACAGTTTATGTATCACAGAGGGGACATGGATGCATTTAAACTGCAGTTGCAGATGCATAAAGAGGCCTAATGTTTTGATTTTAACATAAAACGTTGAACACTGATATTTGAAATCATTTAAACATGAAAAAAATAGTCGAAATGTGAAATTAAAACCGCCAGCAGGTGACAGCAAGTGACTGTTAATGAGTGAGTCATTGAGATTCACCCGATTCATTCAAACGACTGATTCATTCAGAAACAAAGAATTTGACCATGTTAATGTGTGAATCACTGAATCATTTATTCAACCGATTCGTTCAAAAAGCTGACTCATTCAATAAGTAAACACCGTCCATTGCTCAAAGATGCAAAACAGTGCTGTGTTCTTTGTTTGGAACTATTTTTGTTGGCAAAATTGAGCAAAAACAAGCAATATTATGTCTAAAATGTCACTTATTGCTTTACTGAACTTGTATAAAATGATTATTAAATGTGTTCATGCTGATATCTGCAGAAAAACGGTACTCTTTGTGTGATATAAGCCCTATTCACATGGGATTAGTATTATCTGGGGACTTTGTGTGATTTTGAAATTACCCCCCACCTCTGAATTTGTGGTGCATTCGCACGGGATAAGCGAAGACTGTGATTTTACTCGAATTTACTGACTTATCTCCCGGATGCGATGTCAAGGCTTTGAGAGTCCCGTTCTATGGTCCGGTAATTTGGATAAAAAAAGAAAGAAACCAATATAGTTTCATGCCCTGTGACATTTACATTTCACCAGGTTAAAATAATATCTCAAGCTTTATGCTTGCTTTATTTGTAACACATTAACCTCAAAACCTGTGATAATATTAGTCCCATGCGAATCGACATCTCTGTGATTTGGCCAGCATTTGGTTGGTCGAATATCATTTTTTGAGGTTTTTGTTTCCTGTGTGCCTTTTTATCCATCTTTCGTGAAGAATGGAGCTGCGTTGGAGTGTTTGATAGTATTTTGGGTGCTGTTATATCGCTACACCATACAATTTGCAGAAAGAGAAAGCTGAAAAGGTTTTGAGGTTAATGTGTTACAAATAAAGCAAGCATAAAGCTTGAGATATTATTTTAACCTGGGGAAATGTAAATGGCACGGGGCACAAAACTATACAGTTTATTTTTTTTAAATCCATCTAATCGGACCATAAAGCGGGACTCGACATCGTATCCATGGGGGGGGGGGGGGGGGGG